TATTGTACCATGGATCACCACCGTGAAAAACCAGGACAGTTGGCAACGCAGACCAGCTACCCGGCCGGTCCGCGAAAACGGAGCCATTCTCTGAGGGGTGGCAGAAGTACTCTCCTGCGTGAGAATGTTATTGGGCGGGTGTGGAGACTCTTACGCCGTCGCCAGTGAGCACGCTTCGTCTTCGGCTTCGTGAACCCACAGTTTTCCTGCAAAGGCTTCGGATTCGGCTTCGGCTTAAGGCTGACATCCGCTTTGGCTTCGTGCTATTTTTGAGGGTTCACTTCGGCTTCGGTTTGTGATATTTTTGGCCATGGCCTCGGTTACAGTATTGCCTGACTCTGCCTTCGAACAAATTTTAGATTGTAACTCGAACTTCGGTTCCGTACTATTTTCAGCTGCAGACTTCGGCCTTGTCTCGGCGCTTTTTGCAGCAGTAACGGCTTTACTCCACAAAAACAGCATTGCATGTCCTGTCATCCAAATCATACAACAGAAATTGTCAAGACCACGACGCAGACATGGTTGAAAGCCCAAATGACCCGGACATTCTCAGGACCCATCAGCACCCGGCGACGGCCACAGGAGTCATTGTCAGGAACACTGTGCCCATACTAACACACAAGACGAGCACCGTAGTCCGAGGCGGAATATTCCGCCAGTTTTGCTTATACTTTGTCTCAATCACTCCACAAGACCCTTGCATTTTTTTTATCCCGTGTAAGTTGAGGAAAACAAATGGTTTTGGTTCCGAAAGCCACGTCAAACACTAGATTCGGCTTCGACACCGGCATCGTGCTTTTGAACCGATGGGCCTGACTTTGGCTTCGTTTCCTAAGTTCGAAGCCGCTGTCTTCCGCTCGGCGCGCACAAAGTTCTGGTGCAGGCAGGAGGCTGGTGCAGCGGTAAGCACACGTCGCCAGAGGCTGGTGCAGCGGTAAGCAGACGATGTAAGTGGCTGGTGCAGCGATAAGCAGACGCCATAAGACACTGGTGCAGCGGCAAGCAGACGTCATAAGACACTGGTGCAGCGGCAAGCAGACGTCGCCAGAGGCTGGCACAACGGGAGACAGACGTCGCAAGAGGCTGGTGCGGGGTAAACGTAAATGTCGTAAGACGTAAAATGTCGTAAATGATCGTAAAATGACGTAAAATGTCGTAAGACACTTGTGCAGCGGCAAGCAGGCGTCATTAGACACTGGTGCAGCGGCAAGCAGCCGTCGACAGACGCTGGCGTAACGGTAGACAGACGTCGACAAAGGCTGGTGCAGCGGTAAACAGATGTCATAAGACGCTGGCGCAGCGGTAAACATATGTCATAAGACGCTGGCGCAGCGGTAAGTAGACGTCGCAAGAGGCTGGTGCAGCGGCAGGCAGACCTCGCAGTCATCTAACGGCCAGCCCAAGCAACAGCGCGTTACGCTGATGGCATACAGCACGTAACGCCGGCTGTGACATAGTGCGTGACGTTGTCATTGTCAACACAGGATAGCGTGGAAGCACATCCAAGAGACACGCAGCGATGTGTGCGATTTCGCGCGTACGGTGCGTCCGAGAAGCCCCACCAAGGCCTCCGTCTGATCAGCGCTGCCCGACCAGCAGCCCCTCTGAATACTGCAGACACCGGGCCATCTCCGGACCAGGGGCCGGCAGCCACGTTTCCCTTCACGGCGCAGCTAGCAGCATGCTGTTTCGCCGATAAATGGGACCATTTCGGCGCCGCTCGAGTAAAATGCTCAGATTAAGCAATACTTTACATTCACGTTAATGTCTCGCTGAGATGGCGATCGGTCGCAGCAAGGCCAATGACAGCTCATTTCATTAATGGCTGACATGAGTCCAGGGAACCAGACAAAAGCCCCACCGAACTTTGTTTGTCATGCGACAGGCTGCGTGGCTACAGTCCGTAGTTCCCGGAGACGCCACTTGGATACTTGTTCAAAGCAGACGCTGTCCGCCGGTTGCAAGAGCCTGGCAAAGTTCTTTGAAAAAGTACATTTCAGGCCCGGCGATCTGCCAGATCCACGTTTGTAAACTGCCTCTCCAAGTTCAAACGGCTCTCGCCAAAACGACGAGACGTTCATCAACAAACTGTCAAGGAAAAGTCCTGAAGATTTCAGCTATATCGAGTCTTCGCGTTCACCGCCGTCCGATCATCCGACTAAACGCAGCATACTAATGGATATGCACCGACAAGGCGCGCGGTAAGGCCTTAGATGGCCATTCATTCGCGCGTCTCTTCCACGTGGAGCACAGCAAACCATGACCACCGCCAGCGGCCTACCGCCATCTGGGCCTGTTATCTGCACAATACATCTGCTGCGACGTCTGCCCATGTCTGGTGTGCACACGCACGCACGCACGCACGCACGCACGCACGCACGCACGCACGCACGCACGCACGCACGCACGCACGCACGCACGCACGCACACACACACACACACACACACACACACACACACACACACACACACACACACACACACACACACACACACACACACACACACACACACACACACCACACACACACACGCACACAGACTATCTACGCCCTGATGGACCACGAACCTGAGGTTGGGGCCGACCTCTGGACCGGGCGTGTCGCCGTTCTCAGCGCTGGCTTGTCGCCACCCCAATAAAAAGCGCCACCACCGAGGACGACCCCCGCAGCGCCCGGCTTACGCCCGCGGATGTCCCGCGTCCCCGCCCGGCCGCAGGCTGAGCCGGGCGGCGGCCACCACCGAGGACGACCCCCGCAGCGCCCGGCTTACGCTCCGCCGCTGTTCCGCATCCGCCGCCCGGCCGCCGGCTGAGTCGGACGGCGGATAGCGCCGAGATACGAGCACGAGCAAATATCCGCCGGCAGCGCGACACAACAGCCGTCCGGTCTCCGTGGGATTCGGAGCGACTCAAGCGGCGCACGGCCCGACTGATGTCCGGTCTCCGCGGGATTCGGAGCGACTCAAGCGGCGTACGGCCCGACTAATGTCCGGTCTCCGCGGGATTCGGAGCGACTTAAGCGGCGCACGGTCCGACTGATGTCCGGTCTCCGCGGGATTCGGAGCGACTCAAGCGGTGTACGGCCCGACTAATGTCCGGTCTCCGCGGGATTCGGAGCGACTTAAGCGGCGCACGGTTCGACTGATGTCCGGTCTCCGCGGGATTCGGAGCGACTCAAGCGGCGTACGACACAACAGCCGTCCGGTCTCCGCGGGATTCGGAGCGACTCAAGCGGCGTACGACACGGCGGACGCCCAGTCTCCGCAGGATCCGGAGTGACTCAAGCAGCGTACATCACGACAGACGCCCGGTCTCCAGAGCATTCGGACCACAGCCCAGCGGTAGTCCGAATATCGGCTGTCCGCTCTGACACATCGCGCGGTTTAATGGAGAGCGTTTTGTACTTAGTGCGGGCTGCCGAGGCATCCGGATATCCTTTACTGCCGACGTGCCTCTGTACAGGCTACGGGCGTCCTCCCAGGCCGCATCAGATCTGGGCTGGCGGGACGGTACCCACACCATTCGCACAGATCTGTCGTCCGAAAGGGTCGAAAGACAACAAGCCTGCTACAAAACAAAAAATTATCGCTTAGCACGTGCCCAAGATCCGGCGGACCTGTCTCCTGTTCCGCTACAGATCGCCGCACCACGCCTGAAGACCGCTGGGGGCTCGGCGGCCGCTCGTGCCGTCCAGCTCCGGTACTCACGCAGCGCTCCTAGTGTCCGGCACGTGCCGGTTGCTAGCCAGACTGTCGCTGATGCGCTGATTGAACTTGTTGCGGAAGTAGGCGTCATCGCCGGGCTGTAGCGCGCCGCGAGCCGTGTAGGCTCGCTCGTCAAACACGGTGTCGGCGGCACCCAGCGCCACACCGGGCCGCGGCAGCGAGGCGGCCGGCTCCGACTCCGGCTCCCGCTCCCGCTCCGGGTTCGGCTCCGGCTCCCGCTCCGGCTCCAGCTCCGGCTCCGGCTGCTTCAGGCGCAACGCGCGGTTCGGCGTCAGCGGCTCCTGCGGAGACAGGCGGCCGGCAATCAGAATGGCTGCGGAGGCAGGCGGCCGGCCATCAGACTGGCTGCGGACACAGGCGGCCGGCCATCAGACTGTATGCGGAGACAGGCGGCCGGCGATCAGACTGGCTGCGGACACAGGCGGCCGGCCATCAGAATGGCTGCGGAGACAGGCGGCCGGCCAGGCCATCAGAATGGCTGCGCAGACAGGCGGCCGGCCAGGCCATCAGACTGGCTGCGGAAACAGGCGGCCGGCGATCAGACTGGCTGTCTGCCGGAGTGGTGGAGCGGCGGCGGCAGAGGGTGGAGGGACCTCAGCGGACAGAGCACCACTCCGCTGCCGCTCAGACAGCATTGATAACGAAAAACGGTGTCACCCCAGGGGAGGAGCTGCTGCCTTTGAAAACAAATTTGGGCACATTATTTCACAGGGATGGCTTTGGGATCAGGCTCCCTGGCAAGCAGGGCTCGCTGCAAAGACAACGCCCTCAACGCCCCAACAGAGCAATCTCACTCCAGTGAACACTTACGACAAGATTTAAACCAGCAACGCATCGCCATGTCAGTCAACACGTACCAGTCTTGAATATCTTACCAGTTTCCAACTGACTGCCCTAGACAAACCACATGAGCACATGAACACAAGCCACATAGGCCCCAGCACACTCTTGCACTCTTCCGGCTGGGCCCCAACAGTCCCCTCCGCCTTCCCCGCTGGGCTACAGCAGACTCCTGCGCTCTTCCGGCTGGGCCCCAGCAGTCCCCTCCGCCTTCCCCGCTGGGCTACAGCAGACTCCTGCGCCCTACCAGCTGCGCCCCAGCAGTCCCCTCCGCCTTCCTCGCTGGGCTACAGCGGACTCCTGCGCCCTACCGGCTGGGCCCCAACAGTTCCCTCCGCCTTCCCCGCTGGGCTACAGCAGACTCCTGCGCCCTTCCGGCTGGGCCCCAGCAGTTCCCTCCGCCTTTCCCACTGGGCTACAGAGACTCTGCGCCCTTCCGGCTGGCGCCCAGCAGTTCCATCCGCCTTTCCCCCACTGGCTACAGCAGACTCTGCGCCCTTCCGGCTGGGCCCCCCAACAGTCCCCTCCCCTTCACCCCCCCCGCGGCTACAGCAGACTCCTGCGCCCTTCCGGCTGGGCCCCAACAGTTCCCTTCCGCCTTTCCCACTGGGCTACAGCAGACTCCTGCGCCCTACCGGCTGAGTTAGTCTGGCGATGGAGACACCGGGACTTTGTCGGTGCTCCGGTGTTGCGTTAACGCGTGGAGTGGTCAGATCCCAGGGAAGTGGCTGCTAGCAGCGCTCCTATTCTAGGTCCTTTCGTATTAGAATTGCCGACAAGATTCAACACAACTCCACTTAGCGCGATGCTTTCTCCAGCCACGCTTTTGTGCTGCTGATTACTTAGGCCAACATTCACAACACTGATCCCAATCATCCGCCGCACGCACGCAGCACCCGGACCGGCCCCGGTAAATGAGCCGGTGCTCCGCTCGAGACCACATGCGGCACGCGAAAAAACCGGGCCAGCGCGTGCGAGGAGCGAATACACCCTGCGGTACACAAACATCGTGGCGGACACACCCCTGTGGCAGACACCCTCAACGCCCTCCACGGTGGCAGACACACACCCTGCGGCTGACAAACCCTCTGTGGCAGACAACACTCTGTGGGAGACACACCCCGCTATGAGACACACCCCTGTGGCAGACACACCCTTGTGGGAGATACACCCCTGTGGGACACACCCCTGTGGCAGACCCCCTCCACCCCCTCCACGGTGGCAGCCACACACCCTACGGCTGACAAACCCTCTGTGGCAGACCACGCTCTGTGAGAGACACGTCCCGTGGGAGACATACCCCCGTGAGAGACACACTCCAGCGGCAGACACACCCTTGTAGGAGATACACCCCTGTGGGACACACCTCTGTGGCAGACACACCCCTGTGGAAGAGCTCGTGCAGCGCCATTCGCGGCGGCGAACGGTCCGCAACTGTCACCTGAGCACATGCGCACAACAGCAGGGACTGACTCGCGGACAGGAGCCGCACTGAGTGCGTAACGCGAGAACGGATGTCATATCCAGACGACAGCACCGGCTTGCAGGATTTTCTGCATGGCGCATCTCAAACATACAGGCTGCGGCCCCACAGAGGAACCTTTGCCCTGCGCGTCATGGCATTGTTCTGTCAGCTTGGCACACGATAATTAACAGGGCCGTCACCGGTCCTCGCGGCGCCGGGCCCCCACGGGCCGCCGCAGACAGGTGGCAGACCCCGCCAGTCCCTGCCGTTGTTACGGAGACAGAGCACGGCTGGCTCGGGAGCGAGGAGCCCGCCCGTCCGCCGGCCCGCAACGGCGGCATGATGGCCAGCGTCGACGGCACCGTCATGCAGCGCTGCTCACCGCTCCATGAGCATGGTGCCTGGTGTCCGGCTCTGGAGGCCACCGGCCGTCCACTGCATCCCTGAGCATGGTGCCTGGGATAAGGGGCCAGGGGCCACCTCTTCCGAACCCCGCACATAACACCTATATTAACAGCCACACACCAGGGGATGCGCTGCACTCTGGTGCCTGGGATAAGGGGCCGGGGGCCACCTCTTCCGAACCCCGCACATAACACCTATATCAACAGCCACACACCAGGGGATGCGCTGCACTCTGGTGCCTGGGATAAGGGGCCGGGGGCCACCTCTTCCGAACCCCGCACATAACACCTATATCAACAGCCACACACCAGTGGATGCGCTGCACTCTGGTGCCTGGGATAAGGGGCCGGGGGCCACCTCTTCCGAACCCCGCACATAACACCTATATTAACAGCCACACACCAGGGGATGCGCTGCACTCTGGTGCCTGGGATAAGGGGCCGGGGGCCACCTCTTCCGAACCCCGCACATAACACCTATGGTGTCCGCTCTGGAGGCCAAAGCCGTCACCTTCAAGTCACCCTTAGCATGGTGCCTGGATCAGGCCAGGGCCACCTCTTCCGAACCCCGCACTAACACCTATATCAACAGCCACACACCAGTGCGCTGCACTCTGGTGCCTGGGATAAGGGGCCGGGGGCCACCTCTTCCGAACCCCGCACATAACACCTATATCAACAGCCACACACCAGTGGATGCGCTGCACTCTGGTGCCTGGGATAAGGGGCCGGGGGCCACCTCTTCCGAACCCCGCACATAACACCTATATTAACAGCCACACACCAGGGGATGCGCTGCACTCTGGTGCCTGGGATAAGGGGCCGGGGGCCACCTCTTCCGAACCCCGCACATAACACCTATATTAACAGCCACACGCCAGTGGATGCGCTGCACTCTGGTGCCTGGGAGAAATGCCTAGAAGCGGGTAAGACTTTGCTGGCAATTAGTGGCAGCAGGATGCAGAGCTCAGCACCCAGCGATGGCGGGCGGACATCACCCTAGCGTTAAAGGTCGTAATTAATAAATGCCTCTCGCGGCTGAAATGCCGGAACGCGGCAGAGAAGGAGAGAGGCTAGAGCAGAATGCATTATAGAACTAACAAGGAAATCAGCAGCACTGTGGACGCTAGTCGATGCGGTATGATATCGCAAGAATCATTCGCTACTAAGGTGGGCTTGGTGGCCGCATCATTATGTGAGGGGCTAGGGTCGGGCCTAACGACCCGGCGAGAGGGGCCGAGGGTCAGGTCTGACGACCCGGCGGGAGAGGGCCAGGGTCGGGCCTGACGAGCCGGCGGGAGGGGGCCAGGGTCGGGCCTAACGAGCCGGCTGGAGGGGGCCAGGGTCGGGGCTGACGAGCAGGCTGGAGGGGGCCAGGGTCGGGCCTGGCGAGCCGGCGGGAGAGGGCCAGGGTCGGGGCTGACGAGCAGGCGGGAGGGGGCCAGGGTTGAGCCTGACGAGCCGGCGGGAGGGGGCCAGGGTCGCGGCTGACGAGCAGGCGGGAGGGGGCCAGGGTTGGGCCTCATGAGCCGACGGGAGGGGGCCAGGGTGGGGCCTGACGAGCCGGCGGGAGGGGGCCAGGGTCAGGGCTGACGAGCAGGCGGGAGGGGGCCAGGGTACGGCCTGACGAGTCGGCGGGAGGGGGCCAGGGTCGGGGCTGACGAGCAGGCGGGAGGGGGCCAGGGTATGGTCTGACGAGCCGGTGGGAGGGGGCCAGGGTTGGGTCTGACGAGCCGGTGGGAGGGGGCCAGGGTTGGGTCTGACGAGCCGGCGGGAGGGCGCCGCGGGTGGGCCGCCGGATCCAAGGCAGCAAGCGGTGGGCCAGCGGCGCAGCTGGGTTTGGCGCGCCGCCTGGTGCCCACGCATACTCGACGCAGGCGCCACTTGTGACTCGGGCTGGCTGAATGATGGCCAAGGTTTATGCAAAAGGCTGCGCATCCCGCCAGGGTTACTCCTTATCTCATCAGTTGAAGACAAATGACCAGTGTGGTAGTGGCAAGTACACTAGCCCACAACGTCTCCAGTGCCGAATTATTTTATCACCATCTGAGACCTAGCCGTTGATGATGCGGCACAACTGACAAGAATTCCGACTCGACATGCAACCGGCAATGATAATGGACGATCACGATTATTGATATTTATTTGTAAACAATACGATTCCAACAGCAACAAGATTAACCAATTTTTAAATCAAAGTAAAGGCTCTGAGGAAACCAGTCAAGTTGGTTCCCAAACTTGGGCTGGTTGCAAAGCTTTAAACTGGTTGATGCAGCTTTTACAAGCTGAAGATGGTCACGCGAGGTCACCAGTCGCAGAACGGCTGATGAAATCGTGTGCGCTCTCTCTTCTGGAAAGGGTTTCGGGAAGATCTGTCCAGCGGTTTTCGAGTTTGGACTTTTACAGTTGGGATTTTATTAAATAGTATTCTTCAGTGATACTAATACAATAAGCAGGCGGGACTACCGGCGGGGCAGACGGCTCGAACCGCCTCGAGTACCGACGTTCAGGTCGGCACCAGGTGAGTGACTGGCCAGCTCGAAATACAGCATGTATTCTTAGCGGCTATTGG